TTGAGCTCTTTGTTTTGAATTCCACCTGTAAAATGTGTCAAACAACCAAAAAGGACAGAGTAATTTTTTTTTTTTTTTTTTTTTTTCGTTTGTAGCTCAAAAAAATTGTAAGTGACTAGAAAATGACTTAGATTAATTTAAGCTGCAACCTGGAACTTCATTTAAGGCCCTTAAAAAAAAGAAAAATACAATGAAGCAAAATATTTGTCTGCTTTTCCTAAAGTGAAGTAAATACATTTCTTTACATGAACAAACAAATGTCTCAAGCAATTGAATGTATTTTTTAAATTAAAGATTGTTTCTAAACAGAGTCACACATAGAAAATGCTTCTTTTTTAGATCATGCTTTTTTGAAGTTTAGCTGTTCATTTTCAGCCAGTAATAAACATGAAATAATAATATCAGAGATTCCTACAGAAGAATATGATTGAAAGGAATTTCAGCTGCAAATTTTCTGGAGAATAGATAATTATTTTTAATTTTTTTAACTGAAGTACAATTACTCCTCTCAGTAAATACATGTCTGCTGTCCTAGAATCTTGGCTAGCATCTTTCATGAAAAAGGTGTGTTTTTTCTCTGTAACTTAAGATGCATAATCACAATATTTGATTAATAAAACCAGGCCATACTGACTCAGGAAAAAAAGAAAAATCTTGCCTTAGAGGATGAGTAAATATATCCTCTGTAACTGTAGCTGTAGGGAAAATGTCCTAGAGAAAACTTCATTCTCTTGATATTTCTTTTATCACAGACAGCAGCAGAGGAATGCTGCTGTCTTCAGAAGTTACTGACAGAGTAGCAGTAGGTTGTCCAGGTCAGGGAATGGGTGCCTGGTGGCCATTTAGCAGATCACCATACCAGTGACCCTGCAGTTCCCCACAGTTCCTTGGCTGAGTTCTGCTCCTTTAATGCATGCAAGCAAGTTTTAATAGAAATCAGCAAATTTTGTGTAATAATAGAGTTGGAGTTTATAGTGATAAGCTGATGAAGAAAACAATGCTTCCTTCTCTAAAGAGAGCTGTAAAACCCCTCCAGTAGTTGCTTTTTTATGAGAGAGGTTAAGCTGGCCAAGTCCTGAGGAAACCAGGATGTCTGTGCTGTGCTGTGCTGTGTTCTGAGAGCTAGTGGAAATGGGAGAAGAACAGACTTAAATGAGAGGTCAGAAGATGTCTTCTTACACTCAGAAACACAGTGAGCTTGGACAGACTTGTCTACTGAGAATGTCTTGGTTCTCTGGTCTAGACTGCTATCCTCTGGTCTGCTTTTCAGACTCACTGGGAGATTATACACGTTTTTGTCCTTCAGAGAGGCATAAAACATGGGCTGTGATTCAGCACTGGACACCTTATTGGCTTTTTATTTTCTAGGAACCTATTTTTTAACTTGATTAGAGACCTGGGTTCTGCTAAAACAGAAATTCACTACTAATTTGATCTCTTCCTCCATTAGCCAGGGCAGTGATCCCTTAACAAGAAGGAGTATAAAAAGTGTTATCACTTCAACCTCTTCCTGTATTTGCAAGTTCTGGACAGCCACAGCAGTTCAAACAAGTTAGCATTAATCAATCAGACCACCTCACCAAGACATCCACACAGCTCTCTGCTTCACTAATGTCTTCAAATATAGGCCTGACAATTTTTCCAATAATGATTTTGCATATCTTTCATCTAGATATTACTTCCTTTTTCTCTGTGTTGCTGTTGGGAACTGTTTTTTTTTTTTTTTTTGTTTTGGAATTTTTTTTTTTTTTTTTTTTTTTGTTTTGTTTTGTTTTTTTTTTTTTGGTTTTTTTTTGTTTTGTTTTGTTTTCCATTCTTTATTTTCTTTCCCTTTAAACTTGTTTTCCTGTCTTTCATCACAGATCCTAAACTATAATTCCTCATATTGTCTCACTACCTCTAACTGCCTCATTAAGTTACTTTAAGTTACTTCTTTTTCTCTTGCACATCCTTTTCTCTGCTGGAAATCCCACAGGGAGGCTTTACAACACACCTGTGCTCATCTGCCTTGGCCCTTGTATCTTCCTATTTAAACTATTCACCTCTCCAGTTCACAAACTTTAGCAGCTTTTCGTAATCTCTGCATATAATTTCCATGTCCTGCTTTTATTAGTCTCAACAGCCATGTTATTTCTTCCAACGGATAATTAAAACAATATTACTGATCCCCACTCCAATTTATGTGCTTTTCTTTTCTTACACTCAGCTTTTTCTGCCAAACTGCACCCCCAATTGTCCCACTAACCTTCTCTCATCAAAGCAACTTTGTACTCACCCTGTCCTTTTATTCTTTTCCATAACTAATTCATAAAATTATACTTTAGATTCTCTTATTTAAAAAAAAACTTTCCACCTCTCCCTTCTCTGCCCTTGTTTCTTTACTTTCCATCTCAACTCCCTGAATGAAACTCCATTTGCTTTCCCTGTGAGGTTTACTATTTTCAGCGTAGTGACTCGCATTGTATCTTCTCCTGAGCATAGTATCTGACTGTATTAGTCTCTTGGTTATCATCTTATACTTTGGCTTTACAGATTGTTTGTAGCAGAGCCCATCTTTTAATTCTGGGTTTGCAAACAACTGAGCACAACTTGTTCCCTTCCTTGGCTGGAGCTGCATACATAATAAATAATGACACGATGAATTTAGCACTTTAGCACTGCCATCCACTGGCTGTCTTAACATAACATTCCACATCTGACTAAAATTTTGAAGCATTGCTACTGACTGGAAAGTTCAGTATTTCAGAGTAATGGAAATTCCAGAATTCTTTATGTTCTACCCCTTTCAAATACAAGATGTACACCTTTTGCTTTGTCTTTTTCTTTACAAAGTGAAATATCGAGGCTGGTTGAAGAATCAGGGGATCTAGAATAAACTGTGTGTACAATTAATTGACTTACATTACCTGAATGATGTGTACATTTTATAATAAATATTGCTTATGTTTAAAAAACAAACAATACTTAAGAACATATTTAGATATAAAATTTGACACTAACCTAAAATTTGTGTACTTCCCCTGTCAATCCTTTAATCTTCCACCTCATTTAGCAAGGTTTTGCATCAGAATGGTTTCATTATTTTAATAGTATTCAATGGGTTTTCTTTCCATAAGCACATTCAGTTTATGGCTGAATGCATACATAAGGAGTTTCATGACTTTTCTTTTTTATTCCATGCTATTTTATCTTTTTAAACTTTCCCCCCTTTTATTCCAATTCTTTTTTCCACTTAGTTTCTGTGATACAGCCAAACTTATTATAATTAGATGTATTTATAAATTATTAATATTCCATGGTGAGAACAGCTTGCCTTTTATATTTCCTAATGTGCTCCCCTCCAAAACAGTGGCAGGAATATTTACCTTCTTAGTACAAAGGTTCATCTCTAACAAGAGACTGTGAAAGTCTATCAAGATGTGAGGTCAAATAAATTTTATATGTAAATGTGTTTCCAGAAAATTTTGAAAAGAAAATAGAGAGGGGAAAAAAAGGGGGAAAATGTGTGCTGTTTCAGTAATTATATTGTTTATCCAATTTACTGCCATGTGCTGAAATATTACCCAAAATTCTAGGAAATTAAGTGGATTATGAGTTCAAGGATGGAGCACTAATTGAATCTTTCATTGAAATGACTCATCTAAGCAATGCAGTCAGCTGAATTGTCCTCCTGAATGTAAAAATCTTTACAAATGTTATCCTGGTTCAGGTGCCATAATAAAAGCTTGAATCTTCTCCCTCCATAAAAAAGGGTATCTGTCAGAGGAAGATTTGCTGGAAGGGGGCTACTATTCCAAGAAAAATGCGTATTTTTTACAACAAAGCAAGATGAATTTTCCTTGTTATAACCCATTTTGTCTCAACAAAAACTGGTCACATTTGGCACAAAGTTTACTGAGTATTTCAATAGATCTTAACTGAGTCACAGACCTTACACTAACCCTCTCTGAAGGCAGGAAATGTTCTTACCTTGAAACTCTACACAGAAAAAGAGCTGTAATTAAACAAAACAACAGTTCTAAAAATTATATAAGCTGAAAAAAATAGGAGTGTTCATTTATGACTTTAAATTAAATATCAGCTCTAATTTCACTCATTTTTTGTGAAAACCCTTATTCTTTTTTGTGCCTACTCTTATTTTTTAAAGGTAATATCTACTGGTATTTGCCTCATTAAAAAACAGCATTCACTGTGGTATTCTGACAAGCCTGATCCTTTATTTTAGATATATATTTGAACCATATACACCAATTTGGCCATGCAAATTGGAGCCATTCAGGAAAAAAAAAAACCCAACCAAACAAAAAAGAGTTAATAATTTCTCCTACTTAGAAGAGACTAGAAGATGGAACATTTAAATATTTTTGGCATCTTACTAATAAACAGGGATTTGCATGACTTCCACTACACATGGAAGCTGGGGTCCACACATACTTGAAAATCATGACTTACTAGCAGAAAGTACACACTTCACAGAATAGTGAGAGAGGACAGAATAAGCTTAAAAAGGTCTTTTGTTAGAATTTTTTCTTTTAGTTAAGACAATATTTGAAATAATTTTTTCTCTCTCAAATATATTATTTTCTTTCAGCTGGTAAATCTCTTGTCTAAAAATGTAAAAGAACCCAGTTGGAAATAAATGTAATCTATTTCTTAAAATCATGAAGAAGCATAAATTGAGTTTGTATTGTTTCTCTTGGAAATAACTTAAGAGACAGAAAATAGCTCTCCCTACTGTTTTAGTACACCAGTATTGACTATCATTATTATTCTGTCAAAGCTAATAGAGTGCATAAACATGTCAAGTACACCCTCATGATATCCTTCAAAAAGCTGCAGGAACAAGTATAATCTTCATTAAAGAAATAAACAAACAATTTTCCATTACTTTGCTAGCATAAGTGATTACAGTCTGACTTAAAAAAAAATAATTTCTTGTGGCTGCAAAAATCTTGATATTGGACAAATTATAAACTAGAAATATTTTACAAGGTACTTACATGTCACTGGCAATAGAGGAATTCCTGGACATGGACTTTGGAGAAAGATCATAATCACTGTCTGACCGGTAAAGGAAAGACTCCCTACGTTGGCTGTGGACAAAGTTTGCTTGAAGAATTAGCCCTGACCCAGGGCTTGTCATGGGGTCCAAGGGACTTCGTCCTGATGATGTACCATTGTCTACATCGAAACTGCAAAAAAAAAAAAGAGAATTTTTTTTTTATGTTATTGACCTAAGAATTTTAAAATATAATAAAGATCCTCCTGATAAATTATCATAGCTAACTGCTTCATGATAGTAATGGAGGTCTGGTCATGTCCCCTGCTATGAAGAAACACAAGCCACACAAGAGAGATACTTTAAAATTGCTGATAAACTAAAAATGCCCCAAGGCTGAAGTAAAAGAAAATTGGCAGAGAAAAATCCTGTACTGTTAGAAATACAGGAAGCTTTCTACTGGGGCAGTAGAGTATCCATGAGCTCTATACCAGCGGAAACATGATATTTCACTACTTACTTCTTCAGGTCCCAAGTCTCCTTAGCTGGACACCAGTTATTCTGTCTCCCACTGCTAAGGCAGCTGAGGGCTTTTTCCTTATTGAGTACCCAATCCTAATATTTTGTTACTACAAAAATATTTCAAGTACATACTTTATCTTGGCCCGGTAAAAAAAATGCTGCGGTGGCATTAAGGCATAGGCATGTGCTTGAGCCCATCTGCCTGCCTTACGTTTGCTGTTTTACAGACAGATGGAAGCAGTGAGTCCTTTGTTGATAGCCAAGCAGAAGAACTTCTGTAGCCATTAGTGTCTTTGAATCACACAATTTAGATTCAGCACTTTTGGTTGTTGTGTTTGGTATGAAGAGTGGTAAAGAGGCTTATCATTACTAGAGAACACTTTTCTCTAGAGAGGCTGAAGGACAAGGGAAAAGAAAGAAAGAGAAGGAGAGAGTAGATGCTGTTTTACATAGATGGTAATGTTTCTACAAAGGGCTTTGAAAATCATCACTTCTTGAATGGGAGTCTGCAAACAATTAAACACTGGTACAAGGTGGGTAGTGCTGAGAGGATGTGTTCATGGCAACCTGTGCTGCTTGACAGCTCAACAGCTCCATCTGGTACAGTATAGAGGCTTTTTGCAGCATGTGGCTTCATGTTTGGATGTCTTGTGGAACACAATCTGAGAGGTTACAAATGCGTGGATTAGCAAGACTAGATCTCTGGGCTCATAGTAATGGGGACAAAATAATACTCCTAAATCATTTAAGAATGAGGGATGAACAGAGGACCTTTCACATAATTTTTTAAACATAGATAAGTGTTAGCAGCGTATTATGCATTGTTGTTGAACCCATATAAAGTATTCATTTTGAAAATGGTGTTCATTTGAAGGACTTACACAGGTTTCCAGTTACAGGTAAGAACAGAAGAAAAGATGCAGTGCAAGTCAGCTGCTGATTAGACTTCAGGCTAGCACAAGTGTCACAGCCAGTACTTGCTACTCTGTACCAGCTTGTTTTATCTCCCATTGACCTGAAGTTTCAATGAGGTTGCCACTTCAGTCCTTTGCTGAAGTGACAAGATTCCCATGACCTTTTTTTCCTTTCTTAAATGAGCTAATCAAATAAACATATATTGCTTATTTTGACACAGATGCACACTGCCTGGCAGAGGATAGATTTTTGTTTCATGATTTATTTCATTGTTTATTTTTACTTTGCATATATTTCTAGAACTGCAACCTTACTGCCACATTCAGACTATATTATTTTCTTTGCATTCAACATTTACAGTTTGAATGTAGAAAAGCAAATGTAGTTTGTTTGTTTGTTTCTCTTTAAAAAAAATAAATCTAGAAAATATTATTAAAAAGTTTCAGGAGTGCACAGTAATTTAATTCTCTTTTCACTGTAGTTTTCAGAACAATTTCCTGTGAATCCAAACACATACACTTCTTTCTAGGATGATTTGATTTGATTATGCCTATGTCTTAAGATATCCTACTGCTTTATGAACTTCAAACTAAGAAAGTTTAAACCACGAGACAACAAATTAGAGTTTTAGCACCAGACTTCTAGGTGATCTTGGACTGTGCAGTTCCTCTTTGCCTTTCATTTCCCCTATTTGTTGCATCTTTGTGATGACTGTGAAATCTGCCCGCAAAGAGTATTTGAGAATGTATTGAAAAGATCAAGATACCATGAACGCTACGGTAAAATGTCCTTTGCAGCTTGTAGTGTCATTAGCTCATAACCAAAATTACCATTGTTACTAGCATGACTACTGCTACTTGTTATCAATCAATATCTTTTTAGCTTGAATTCCTAAATATCGCAGGAGCACAAAATAATCACAATGCTAATGAAGGGTTTAGCTCATAATATCCAAATTTCCTAACATTAATATTTTGTTTCCTGAATAACTTTTATGCCCTTTAAACTTCAAGAAATCACAAACTCCTAATTAATACATAGTTTGTATATTTTGTTTTTCTACTGAGGGCAGGAAGGCAGATAATTCCTGCAATTTTAGGTAAAACAGAAGACTGTTCTCAGTAAGAAAATTTCTGCAATGGCAGTATCATTTCAAATATATATGAACTTGCCTGGGAACTTTAAAAAAAAAAGTTAGAGGCAGGATTTAAATAAATGAAAATTAATGTAAGTCCCTCTCACAGAATGAAATAGTTAATACTAAATTTATTTCTTTAACAGTGGACTTAAATATTCAACTGAATCAAAAGTATTCAGTTGGATTAAATAAATATGGTTTTATTTGCAGTTTCGTTTTATTTTCTTCATCCCCCTTTTGTGGACATCACATGAATATTATATTACCAGTCTTATTTCTTCTAGTAAGCAACTAAGGCAGGCTTCAACAAATGATTTCACTGTCAGGTTGTAACATAGTCAATTTTTAAAATTTAGTAGTGTTTTAGGTAGAACTGCAGTTTCACCTCCTGGGAGAGGTCCTTTGGTTTGCATCACCAGGTAAAGACAAGCTTCTGCAAGACATTGCTGGTGCAACAGAAATTTTATCCTGTTGTACTGCGTGGCGACCACTAGATGGGTGTAAAAAGTCAAAAACAGGATCCAAATTGATCAGCTGGATTTGCCTCGTGCTGTTCCAAGAAAACGTCTGCTCTGAAAATATTCATCAAGAAAAATAGTGTTCAGCTCTACAGTCAAAGTATGAATAGAGTACTTTTTTTTTCCAGAAACCTGTTTTATTTTACCTATTTATTTTATATTAAAAAGTTTCTGAAATATTATAGTAAAGTGTCTTATTTAGATCTTTCTGAGACATTTGCCAACACTTTGAGATACAAAAGCTTGTAAATTCTAAATCAAAAGAAAAGTTATTAAATGAAAATCATATCAATTGTTTCTTTGTCTGAATCACGACTCTTATTTTTAAGAAACTGTACTTCTGACTACGCTGTATCAAAAGAAGAGAGAATCAGAATGGGGAATTGAACACTTCCACACCAGTTCTTTGCTCTTTGTTGTCGCATACACTGAAAAATTCAAAGTTTAAGACACAAAATAGGATAGGCTCTTTAACTTGCCCGAACAGAAATTGCTAAAAGTCAGCTGTGCCTGCTTCATATGTATCTCTTCACTCTCAATAAGTTTTAAGCCACAGCAAGAATATGCTGTGAATTAGAAAGAACAGAGAAACAGAACAACATCTTCATGGAAGTTGTTAATAAAGAGGACAGGAACTCTTTTGCTTTCATTTCACAGGTAGTAAGTGGCAATTTAAAGACAGAATTTTACACCATTGCTCTGCAGCCAGCTCTAGGCACTTTGCATAATGCATGCAAACTGAAACTGCCTTTGGTGACAGGAGCATTTGGCACAGACATCACAGAATTTTATATGTTCAAAGAGCTTTGCTGCAACTCCAGAGATGCCTAAGCCCTGAAAAGTCAATGACAATTCAGCAACTTTTGTGTCTGCATTTTGACAAAATGTTTTAAGGCATTAGTGGATAGTGTTTATCTTTAGAGCCTGCCTTATTCAGTGTTCAGTGCTGACAAACTTGACATGAGATGAAATTCTGAGGTTTTTTTCCTTGTTTGGCTATTCATCTTGTTTCCACTTCCTGCCCACTTTCTGTCATCCACGCTCTGTACTAAGATGGGGACAAAACTGAGTGATTTGTAAACATTCATGGGTGATCTTCCTTGTGCTCCTAACACAACAAATACAAATAACACCACAAGAAGACTTTAGGAGGATTATTAGAGTTTTGCTTCAGATAATACTAGGACTCTGTGGCAAGAACAAGAGAGGTTCTGGATCCTGATTCTGAATCTTAGCAGCACTTCTTCATTGTTAATGACTGCACAGCTTCTTTGCATATTGAAAGAAACTGGACTTCCTTTTAAGTCCCTAAAGAATGCTTTCCTACTCTCTGCCATGCTGCTAAAAGAAAAAATGTGGAGGCCTGTATATAAAATATAGATTTTAGTTACATAAGGAATGATGGCATCATAATCATTATACCCAAGAGGTTGTAATTAAGGCTGAATAGAAAATCTTAGTGTTGGTTTTCCTTAGTACTGAGAATTTAGCACTAATCCTGCAGCATTTTTGGGGGGGGGTGGGGGGTACTTTCTTTAATTTTTGTGTGGTTTTTATTTTTAGAGAAATATGCAATAGTAGGAGAGAGAAGGAAATAAATTTCACCCTAAAATGAAGAACTTACTAGACTTTTTAAGAATGCAAATTGTACTCCTGCTATTCCCCTTTAAGTGTCTTCCCACTTTCATCTTGGAAACTACAGGGAGACAGGGAGGGAGAGCCAAATTAATTGAACCTCTTGGGGACATCTTATCTTTTAAGGCCATCTTTAGCATTACAGAGGGACAGGCAAATTCTAGAGGAGCAATTTTTTTCCCCCATCAAAGGAGTCCATTGTCCTAGTGTCAAGCAATCTCTCCAGCCATCTGTGCTATGACCTATATACACATCTCAATGTCCTCACTTCCAAGAAGTGGTGTCCTGTTTTTTCACCTGGGAGCACAATCCCAATATTACACAAAATAGGTGCATTTGGTGTAGCAGCTGCAATTCACTGAAACTATCAGAGAAGACCTGCCCTGCAGCAACTCCCTTTGAGCAGGATCTAATTTAGAGCACAAGCAAGGTAATAAAACTATAAGGTTCCAAGGAAAGGGTAAA